CAAACCAGCGGCCCGGTAGGATTTGTTCCAAGGACCGGTACCGGTCCGCGGACCGGTGGTTGGGGACCCCTGTCTTAAAAGACACATATTGCAAGAGAAATTGTCATTTCAGATTATTCATAAAAAAAAATATAAGCAGCTAGTTCTTCCTGAAAAACATTTAAGAACAGAACAAGAACAATCCTAATGAAATCTGAATCACACATATTTTTTAAAAACTTCATTAGAAAAGAGCAAGAAAAAGTTATAAGCCATTACAACTTTCTTAACATGTTCCTGGAATGCCAATACCCAAAGAATAGAAAAAGCTTAAAATAATTATTCCAAGGAATTATTAACCTAAACTATCTGCAGTGTGTTGCACTGATATGAACATAACCTTTTTCATGGCAGTACAGAAAATTCTGCTTTTCAGCTGGGAACAAATTAAGTGATTTTCCCTCTTTCTACTCTCCCCTCCCCTTTATTAAACCATTTAAAGTTAAACCATAGGAATTAAGGCAAAAGCAGGAGATACCCATTTTTAAAAGATCTGGTAGTAGAAATCTCTTAATCTTTCCATTTGTAAAACACCAGGGCTGGTCTGGAAGAAGCAATTCATTTACGGGGCTGATGGATGTATTGATTGACATGTTGGGGAGGAAGTTTTTCCACAGAGGGATGTGGTTTTTGATGGGCCACTTGTGCTGCAGCTGGAGGGAAGTCTTTATCACCCTAATTAAAGAACAAACATCAGCATTAAAAACATCACACATAACAATTAGTCTCTCTCCCTTTTTAAGAATAACAAAGTTTTGCTGAAATGACCTTTAGCTTACTGCTTTCAGTTTTTCTGTCAGAAGTTCAGACTCTTGGAATTTGGAGTTCAGAACTTTTGAATCTGCACACAAAGCTTCCAACAGGCTACAATATCCTTCAAATCTTGTTACAGATTTTTGAAGCATGAAAAGTATTTGGGTAGCAGAATTCTGGTTAGTGACTGAATTTGGGAATGGGAAATGAACATTTATATTTGAGGTCACTTAAATTTTTGTTAACTACTGAAATCACTTTAGTAAAAATCTTTTTCACACACGCATGCTGTTCAGAATACTGTTAGCTTTGAATAAACTGCCTTTACATGTTTCCCACAACAGTAATAATATCAAGATTGACAAACTTAAGATGTGATGCTGATGAAAGCTAGCTGATTTCACTCATCAGTGAATCCAAGCATAATTCTTCTAGTTTCTAGACAGTCTCACAACTCCTGGCGGGGGAGAACCTGCCAGGTTTGATTTTTCTAATTATGTAAACAGTGTTTATCAATCCTAACAGATTTTAATACTTAGTCAGCTTTGCAAACCTTGTAAAAGTTTGATTTCTCTTGCTCATTAAGCAGCGTGCAGCAAATTCTAGTCCCACCTTATCTCCCAAGCACATGCTTCAAAAAGCTAGTATATATCAGCATGACCCAATTAGAAATCCATAAGGTATGTTTGTTTGTGAATGGATTATTGGACTTGCTCAATTTCAGCCTCCAAAAATACTATAGTAGTAGTGGGAACTGTTTAGAATTATGCCTGAATGAATCTGTAAGTATTGCAAATTCTAAATCCATTAAAGTCTATAATGTTCAGTAAAGTCTTTTCAGATATTGGACACTGAACTTCCAGTGTGCTGGGCTTTTTGAAACACAAGTCAAAATTGAAGTATGCTTAATATTTGCAGCTGAAACTGAAGTTTTATTTTTTTAAAAGGAAATGATGCTCTTATGGCGGTTACACATCTGATTGCATTCAAATACATTGAAGTAAATGAAATATAACTTTAAAAGCTTAATATATTATTTTGTAGCCGCACCTGGATGTATTGTAAGCAAGAAAAATCAATTTCTTTCAGAATTTTTATTTGCTGAGTAGTTATGTGAATAAGTTATATTTGTATAATCTAATGCAATTTGTCTCTTCCTGATACATTTCAGATGTTTAGTGTGTTTTTCACAAGCCTAAGCATTTTCAGTCAACATCCTTATGCTGTAAGGATGTAACAAATTTAGGGGCCCAGAAGATACCACAAGACTGCATTCGTTTTTGAAAAAAAAAAGTTGTCCTCTAATTTACTTTGTTATATTTTCAGTACCTGGGAAAGAACTCCCTATTTTCAAAAATATATCTTTAGGCATTATTTCTATTAGTTTCACAACTCAGACTAGAAATTTTCCAGTCCTCCAGGATATCAAGCTAAGTTTTGAAGAATACAAACTATTTTCCTTCATGTTCCAATATACATATTTTTTACTTTTCATTTTCCAACTTTAAAACTGCAAAACTGTTAATTTTATTGCTGCCAGTTTTCTATGCACTCTATTAATGTTTTAATGACATATATTGCCCTGACAACATTTACAAAGACAGGGGAGATTGAAATTATAAAAAACAAAAAAGTGAGTTACAGTTCAACTGATAACATTTTTAAATACGTAGCTCATGAAGTAATTCACATCCTATTAAAAAACCTAAATAAACAAGTATTTTTCTTTTCCAAGATAATGGGAATTACACAATTGAATTATGTTATCTGATATAACAAAAACAGTTTCCTTGGTAAGGAAAATCATTGACCAAAACAAACATAGCAGACATTTGCAATTCATATTGTCACAGTGAAAAGCTGAAAATTATTGAAAATGAGGACTTACCCTTGCAATTACACCAGAAATAAACACAGTTGGTTTAGGTGGACTGGAAAATAAAAGGGGAACATTTAATAAAATACTCAATTTGATTTAATAGAAGCCATAAAGCAAAATCAAGACATTTGAAAGATATAATCAAACTTTCAAAATAGCTCTGCTTAGAAATTAATTTGCTCAAAACAGCCATAGTATGCAACCTACTTGACCTTATTTATGCTTAATCAATTAGTGCACGAGACGAACAGGTTTATTCTAAGGTGTTTTTGATTAAAAAAATAATGAAAGAATACAAGTGGAAGTACCATTGGAAACCATAAAAGTTGTCTTCTTTAAAATAGAAGCTACTACAGAGTTTATCACTATACAAATATGAATAAAAACATAAATGGCAATTAAAATGATGAAGAGCATAACTGTTACAACAATAATAGTTGTAGCTGACAGTTACAGCAGTGATCCATTAATTTTGTTATTCTCCCTCCAATGTTTGTTTGTTGTTTGTTTGAAAAGAACTGCAAAATTTAGTAACTGGAGCCAAATACAAAAGTTATAAATGCCAAATACTAAAAATGAGCTAGGTTTAGGTTTGTCACATATCGATGTACTGTTTTTCTCAGGGGTTCAATACTATGTTTTTATTGTTGCTGTTCCTAAAAAGAAATGGAAATGAAAGTCAATATCCTCATCAATTTCCAGCAAATCTTAGTGTAGTAGACCATTTCTTGCTCCTACCCACTATTATATATATTACTGAAGGAGATCTATCCACAGCTATTAAGATGGTTAAACCTAGTTTCTTGAATAGAAAAAGTGTGGCTTGGAACATTACCTACAGTGGGTTCTTCTACTACTTGCTTCTAATTTAACTGAAATAAATAAGTAAGCTAGTTCAAGTCACTAATACAAGAGCAGTAGCCATCACCCTTATGAACTCAATGTCAAACAAAAAATGCACATTATCAGTGAGGAGGATTAATAGGCAATTGAACTAGTTGACAGACTTTTCTCTGTTTTTCTACTCCTTCTACATTTACAATATTCATCATCCCTCGCCTTCTACTTTTTCTAGTTGTCTAGTAGGGCTTAATTCCAGTAAGTATAAAAAACAGAATCTTAATGGCAGGTTTGGTAGATACTATGCTATCTTCAGACATTTCATTTCTGGAGAATCAAAGGGAAATGTAGCAATGCATCTCCTGTTTCCCACTGTGTGTTAATCATGTTAGACTAATCAAATAACAGAAAAAAGTAACATAATTAACAAGGTAATGTGTTTAATTTCTATTTAGGTATGCAATTCTCTAACTCACCACCCCCAATTTTTCCACTGCACAAATACATAAGGTCCTTAAAGCCACCTGCTAAAAAGGACACCTGGGAACTGTGCATGAGCTGCTCTGATCTCTTCACCAGGCTACAATGTACTTTAGTAAATAAGCTCTTCTAATTCTACCTTCATTTCCAAACACAGCCAGACCTAGCAAGCAGCAGGATAAACAAAATGCTTCAAGCACCATGGGGCAAGAGAAGCAGATGAATGTACAAACTCAGGCTTGTTTGTGGGTAGTAAGTAATTTCTATTATGTAGAAAGATTTCAAAGGTATTGGCCACAGGCTGTGCTTCAAGTTGCAAAATAACATGGGTTTGCATTTTTTCCAGTCTCTTCTCAAATATCTGGGGGGAGGTGAGGTATCTTCTCAAAGAGTGGATTTATTCTAATTACTACAACATAAAATTAAGGGAACTGAATTATGACATTTCTGGAGCACATTTTTGCTTTGCAAACTTCTGGAATGAGTATCTACTAAGCATTTAATACACATGAAGAAAATAAAGAATAACAAGTAGCAGACAGTATATTAATAAAACATGTAATTTAGTTTTCACACACGATTTGTCTGCTCTGGCATTTTCTGAAAGGCTTTATAATGGCAAATCTGAATTTGAATGATTTCCTCATATTTTCCCCCTGACCTTTCAGTTTTTATTGTTCTCCAATGAACCATGAAAGTTGAATACAACATTTTCTGACAATCATTCCCAAATATATTTATCTACCAATATCTTCAAGAATAATCATTGCTATGATGTTACCTATAGCAGGAAAGACACCAGTTTGGATATTCTTTCTCTCTGACTCTGCAAGAACTTTTGAAAGCATGCTTATGGAAACTATTTCAACTTAAAAGCTAACTACACAAAAACAGGGGGCAGCAACAAGGCAAAGTGCTCATAATTTGGGCTGAGGAATAAATGGATAAATTGGCTTAATGGGGGGGGGGGGGGGCAAGGCCTAGGCAGCTATGGGCTTGCAATGGTAGCATATGCCTAAGAGCATTTGTAGGAAGTTAGCACCTACCCCCCCTCCTAGAAAAATGAAATATCCTGGGAAATATTAAAAAGGCAGAATATTTCCCCTAAAAACAATAAAGTAGAAACTCAGAGAGGCAGAAACTCAGGCCCCCCACCTTTGATAATGGGTGGGCCATTAAAGCCTGAGCCAGAATACTTTATATAACAAAGATCTCCAGATAAAGGTATAACAATTGCCCAAGAGCCCTTTCAGTGCATCATCATCCAGCAAGGCTCAACCAAACCTGGAACTCAGGAAGGCCTACAAATTTAGCTAAGATCCCTGCCCCTGGGAGTCTGACAGCCAATGGGATACACTTCTTGCACAGGAACAGAAACACTAAGGCCGGCCCCTTCTTTCTCTTTTCCTTCACCTTGAAGCATGTGATCATCCTTTTCACTTTGGAGCTTCAAGCCATGTGGTCCTGCTGTCCACCATTAAACCATCTTTCCAAATAGCCTCCATGTTTCCAGTGTCTTTTTCCCCACTTGGAACTGAACCCAGAAGGATATTTCTACCAACACATGTAAGAATCTTCAATAAATTGGCCCTCAGAGGTTTGACAATAATGTCTACTATCCTTGGCAGGCATAGCCAACACTTTACTAATTGGAATATATGCCAGGTATCAGTTTATACAAACAGAGAGTACTAGACAGGAAAATCTTGTGACATTTTGCCCTCAGCTAAAACAGGTTTGGGAATTGATACTTGCCTGGTCACATATGACGTGAAAAAGGCAAATACACAACTCTGTCTGGGCAAGCAGACTATTAGTATTAAAAGATTTGATTAGTACTTGGACAGGCGACTACTTGTAAATATCTGGCTGTAAATTAATCTGGGAACGACAACAAAAACATATGGGAAGAGGACAATACTGCTGGTAATAAAACATGTCCACAAAACTTGATTCATGGTTATCTCTTTTTCTTTAGTTCTTTTTAAAGTTCATTGACCCTATCACCTGCTACAGAGAACACTTAGGCCAGGGTATCAAACGGTTTTCAATGCAGACTCAGATATAAATTCCACAGGGCAAAGCCTAGACTCTTTTACAAGCTATTATGAGAATGAAAATTGCAATGGATGAAGAGGCACATAGCCAATTATGAGTTTTCTTTTCTTTTCTTTTTTAAAGAAAACTGGAATATTAAACATATAAAAAAGAGTTTTGGGACAGCAGGTAAATCAAAGATCATGCCAACAAGTTGCAAGCCTGGAAGAAATACAAATGATCTCTGATCATCTGAGAAGAAAAAAAAAACATACTTTCAAAAGACATTTCATTCTTCCCAAATGTCAATGCTTCTCTGGAGCTCTGACCTCTTCTCCCTAAATAATTATGCTGACCAAGGATCCCTGAGATACATTACTAGAAATGGCAGCAAACTGAAAGCTTAGTATTTGTGCCAGACTGTTCCAATTCAATGGTAATCATAGAGCTTGTATTTTGTCTTTCTATTTCTTTTTTAAGAGGACCTCGCTCCAAAGTCCTATACATACAACACCATCTATCACCAATAACAGCTAAAAATAACAAAGGATAGAGAAAACTTGCAGTGATCTCTCTCTCTCTTGTCTAGTGCTAAGGGGCATAATTAAGAGGAGGAAGAAATAAAGTTTCAGTATTAATGCTTTACATCAGGGGTATCAAACTCACGTCATCATGGCATCATCATGTGACATATCAGGACCTTTTCCCCCTTTGCTAAACCAGGTGTGAGCATGGTCAGTGCGTGACACATCCAGCCCGCAGGCCAGGAGTTCGACAGCACTGCTTTACACTCTGTTTTTGTTGCATGCAAAGTGTAACTTATACTCCCAGTATTTTGAAAGCTATAGTGGCTGCTCTGACAGATATTGGCTTGAAGATGTAAGATACTTTTATTGTCAAGGTTTTAAAAAATAAAACAGGTTCTTTTAGAAACATCATATGGAATTGTAACAGGTTTGATTTTTAAAACTAATAATTTGTTATATTTCTGAGAGAATATTTTTTACCTAAGATAAGCAAAGAGTTTTCTTTCTATCAATTAACATATGGAGGAGAAAATAGCATTTTTTTTCAAGCATTCCTATGTCACTCATACGCTGTTATGAAACAAACTGCTGAACACTGGTTTCTTTCAGGGTTTCATTTATTTTTAATCCCCCAAAAAAGAATTCTAATATATTATAACACAAGGGATTAAACATGCAGTTTACTGACGCTGCAAATAAATCTCTGAGAAAAGATCCATTTAAGCTAAAAAAAAAGATCTGACAGTCTTGATCTCTATGCAGTCACTCTTAATTACTGTTAGATCACATCTATAATATTTCATATAGCTCTTTAGCATTTTTAAAATACTTTGTGTGTATTTGGGCAATAATCCCCCAAAAAACCAAATACGGTTTGGGACAATAATCTGTCTTTTGAGCTTTAGCAAAATTTTCAGTCATAGATGGGGCTGCATGTGCTGGCCCACTTATCTTTGTACATGTGTTTCTTTTCAAACAACTGGACTCATAGATTGGAGAAAGGGAAGCATGTACACTAACACACTCTATTATTACTTAGCTTTTATCTGTGGTCAGTGAATCCCTAAAGAAGGCTTGTGTTTTTTTATTTGCAGCAACACTTTGCAGTGTTGTTGCTGCAAGGGAAATACTGGCATGACTACTATTGAACCTGGGACATGATGACTAT